CCTCCTTCTATTTTGTGTTTGTTACTCTCTTGTAACACCTCTAATCTTCGGCACTTATGTGACCTTATTGTGTTGCAAGTGCCGTAAAACTCTTACTAAAACTAAACTAAAAGGTATGCTTGCCGAGAAGTTGAGATTATTTCACATTGCTATCAAGTCTCCTAAGGGAATGATATGTGAGGCAGCGTGGTGGAATCAGGCTCTCGTCCAAATAATCAAAGTGAAGAAACTTTGCATTTTTCCGCAGTTTGTGAATTTTTATAAAATTTTTGTTTTTTGGCTCAACACCTTTCATGAGCATTAAAGAACTCATTTCTAGTAGGATTTTTTTCTGAAAAACGTTGATTGAAGGCACAAAAAATGTACATTTTTAGTTACCACGGACTCTTAAGCTAAGGAAATAACTAACCTTTGGCGGCCATGTTCTCACTAATTTTACCTCTGAAAACAGGTGACCCCCACCTCCTTCTTTCGCAAATATCTCGACTTGTATGCAAGAAAAATGGCTATTTTTTTCATCCAAATAAAGACTAGAGAACAAGCTTTAAGATGATATCAATAACTTATAAGGCCCAAAAATTGACGAGAGCCTGATTCCACCACGCTGCCTCACATATAGATTGTAAAGCACACAGAGCTAGTTGGTGAGTGGGAACCTCCGGTGTACATATATTTTATAAAGTGTTTTCTATCACTCTAACGTAAATGAGAAGAGGTAACTTACTTTAGCCTTTTCTTTCATAGCCTCTGAGTCTGTTACCGTACGGTGTTGATTGTAGAAGCAGACGACGTTCGCTTGTTTGTTTTATCGCCTGTCACAAGGTTATATTGTATTTTATAAATGTTTCTGTCCCCCTTTATCTCATCTCTCCCTGGACCTATTGCCCTATCATAGACAGCACGTGGGTGGTTGGCGGGTGCTCTGGTGTGGTTTGCTTCTTCTTTCCTATCGGACATCTATCGTCCTTATCTCTCCTCCTTCTTTTTGCGTTTGTTACTCTCTTGTAACACCTCTAATCTTCGGCACTTATATGACCTTAATGTGTTGCAAGTGCCGTAAAACTCTTACTAAAACTAAATAGACAGCACACCACACATAGCTATAGCGATAGCATTGTTTCTGTTTCTGACCCACAGAACGTAAAGAACAGCTTCTGCACGCTGAAGAGGTCAGCCAAACCAAACCAAGATGGCGGCGGTAGCTTCCGGAAACGAGGCCACCGGAAGAGAAATCCCTGTCGTCTGCAACTCCACCGAGGACGCCATTCAGAGCGCTCTCCACGACGACCCTGACCTTCAGCAGATCGTCTCCCGTCTAGACAGTGACGTCAACATTGACCCAGATAGAGATCTAAATATAGAAGTGAGCAGCGACACGTCTGACAGTCTCAACAAAGACTCGGACTCGGTCTCCACCTCGAGCAGTCTCAGAGATACAGACGATAACCTGGATGACGACCACAGCCCGACGTCTGAGAGAAAAACAAAACATAAGCAGCAATCTCACTCGTCGGACAAATCACCAGTCTCCAACGGCGACTCTAAAAAGTCGGACCGCAAACAGTCGGTGGATAGTACCGGAAAGTCGAGTCTCAGTGTCAAGTCCAAAGCCGGTTCTAGTGATGGTAGTCAAAAGTCTTCATCGAAAAATCCGCTGAAAATGTTGAAAAAACTCACAAAGTTTGATAAGCCGGAAAAACAACACGCGGACTACAAGTAAGTAGAAATGTCTGTCTGTCTGTCTGTCTGTCTGTCTGTCTGTCTGTCTGTCTGTCTGTCTGT